TCCCTTACTCCCTCCCCCAGCCTCCTAGACCTTGATTCTCACTTCACCATTCAAAAGACCAGGTTTTTGTTTCATTGATCTTTGTTTGCTCAGAAAAGCACCCATTTGTTATCTCACACTACTGTAGATTGAATGTATGTGCCCTCTATCAAATTCATGTGTTGAAATCCTAACATCCGAGGTGATGATGGTATTAGAATGTATATGGACCTTAAGGAGATTATTAGGTCATGAGGAAAGAGCTCTCATGAATGGGAATATTAACTTTACAGACCTACTACTGAATATATACCTAAAGGAAATGAACTGTGTATGTCAAAGAGACATCTGCAATTGCATGTTAATTGGAAACTCATTTATAATAGGCAATAAGTGGAATCTACCTAAATGTCCATCATTGTATGAGTGGATAGAGAAAACGTGGTATACAGATACAATGAAATACTATCCAGCTATGAAAAAGCATGAGATTCTGTCATTTGCAACAATGTAGATGGAACTGGAAGATGTTAAGTGAAATAAGTCATGTGCAGAAAGAAAAATACTGCATGTTCTAAATTAAATGTGTAAGCTAAAAATTTGATCTCAGAAGTAGAGAGTGAAATAGTGATTATCACAGCCTAGGAAGGATATGGAAGAGGGATATGGAGAAAGAATGGTTAATGGATACGAGGGTGCAATTAGATAGGAGGAATAATTTCTAATGTTCCATAGCTCAATATAGACTAACTATGGCTGTCTACAATTAATTGTGCACTTCAAAATAACTAATAGAGATAATTTTGAATGCTCCTATCACAAAGAAATTATAAATGTCAGGAGTCATGGATATGCCATTTATCCTGCTATGTTCATTCCACAAGGTATACTTGTATTAAAATATCACAATTTACCCGATAAATGTGTGTCATTATTATGTGTTAATTAAAAATGAAAAAATATTTTAAAAAAGAGATTCTAGAAAGCCCCCTCACCCTTTATTGTGTGAGTACACAAGAAGAAGATTGCCTTCTGTGAAATAGGAAGTAGGACCCTGCCTTATATCAAATCTTCTAGTACATTAATCTTAGATTTCCCAGTCCCCAGAACTGTGAGAAATAAATTTCTGTTGCTTATAAGCCACTCTATATATAGTGTTGTTTGAGCAGCCAAATGGACTAACATACACAGTTTTTATGGCTCAACTGAATCCTCTACTTAGAGACTACAGATCACAAATTTGTAATCAAGGTGTCAGCTGGAGCTGTGGTCTTGTCTGATGCTTGGGAACCTCTTAAAGCTCATCCAGTTTACAGACAGAATCCACTTTCTTGAAATTGTAGCACTCATGGAAGATTTCATCATCTTTGAAGGCAGCAGGAAACTGTCTCTTGGGTGCTTTGCCTTCTTTTAAGAACTCCCCCAATTAAGTCAAACCCACCCAAGATTGGCTTCTTTTTATTAACTCAAAATTGACTGATTATTAGTCTAATTACAGGTGTGAAATCTCATACTCATATATGGGGCACGTATACCAGGAAGTCAGAATCTTGGGGACCTTCTTATAACTCTGCCAACTACAACCTGTATTTGATAAACTCAAAAGATTACTGTGAGAAGTTAAAGAAGAGCTAAATAAATGGAGAGAAATAGAAATAGAAATAGAAATACCATGTTCATGGGTTGAAGGACACAATATTGGTAAGATATCAATAATTTTGAAATTGGTTTATATATTCACTGCAATACAAATTAAAATTCCAATAGGCTCTTTTGTAGATATTGATGCTTGGGAACCTCTCAAAGCTCATCCAGTTTACAGACAGAGTCCAATTCCTTGATTCTGATTCTAAAGTGATATGGAAATGTAAAGGAAATAGAATAGCAGACATACCCTTGAAAAAAGAAGATCAAAGTTAGAGGAGTAAAACTATTTAATTTAAAATCTTATAAAGACAATGTGGTATTGACATCAAGATAGTGAAATGAATCAATGAAATAAAATAGAGATGCAAGAACTGGGCCCACACATATGTGAACACAGGCCCATGTCTAAATGGAGAAGTGGTGACATTGCGTTGTTAGATAAGCATGTGGGATGTGATGTTTGATGGTATAGCTACTACCATACCCACCTATGGTGACATCCATAATAAATATTGCTTCTAGTATTTGTTCAATTTTCCAAGGTTTCTTGAGTGAAAGTGGGCTTCTCACTGGCGGTATTTAGAATTCTTTCAGTAGACTCCAAAAGCTGGCTCTTTCAATATTTTCAAAGTTTCTCTTTTAAAGAAAATGGGGATAAATGTTCTCCATAATGGGTTGAAGGTGGAATCATTAGTTACTGCTCATCAGACACTTCTGGCACTCCAACTTCTTAGCACTTATTAGGATTGTCTTCTTGGCCCTCTTGTGGTTAGGTCAGGCTACGTGATTAATTCCAGGCTATAAGATGAGCTGGAAGCAATGAGTATTCTGGGCTGGAACATTAAATAATTAATGTGAAACTTCTGCCAAAATAACTTGCAGTGATCCAGGGTTGTAATCCCTTTATCAATCGGGGTCTCAGAGTGAAGACCACATGGAACAGAGCCCCCTGCCAACCTGCAAAGGTTATGAAGCATATGTGAGAAATAAACTTTTGTTGTTTCAAGCCACTGAATTTTGGGGTGATTTTTTGGTCAAGCATTATCTAACCTAGCCTAGCTTCTGATATAGAAGCCATATGCAAGGTACTACTTAGCATCATGTTAAAAATATTCTTTTTGCAGTTCAAATAAAGGTTCCAGAGCAGAGACAAATCATCTTGACTTGGTTCTGGCTATCTGTGAGTTCTCTGTCCATCTACGTACTCCTTTTTGAACTTGAAGAGGTCATTGTTTTGCTGGGATTTAAATATTGGATTCCAGAACCTGGCTGTTAGTTCTGAAATTTATATCCAGCATCCATTCCATAAGGCCAAGTAGATCTTCATGCAACCAGAACAACCCACATAGCCTGCCAGTGAAAACCAGAATTTGATAGGCTACACTGTATACTCTCCTCTCTTTTCCATTCTATACTGAATTTCTGTAATTATTTTCCTTTTTTCCAGTTACCTTTACTATTCATTCTCCCTTTTAGACTTTTCATCTTGATCACCCTCTTTTAACATTCCACACTGAAGACATCTGGTTACTTATTGTTATACTCCCATACCCTTCTTTTGTTAGTTGACTACCCTTTTCTTTATTTAGATTAAATTTGGTATTCTCATTTTAAGGCCCTTTCAGACTTAAAGTTAATTTTGTCTGTGTCCCTGGCTTAAAGAAGTAATATACAAAATTTCCTAGAATAAGAAAATATAGAGAGAATGCTACATAGTCATAACAGCTACCCCATACACAGTATTGTACTTATTATATACCAGGCGCTTTGCTAACCTCATTAGTATCTATTAACTCATTTTAGGTATAATAAGTTCTATTTTGCAAATGAGGTAACAAACACAAGGAAATATATGACTTGCTTAAAGTCACACAACTTATAAGTGGCAGAGCCAGAATTAGAAACCAGGCTGCCTGGCTCTAGAGCCCATGTTTTAATCATTGTATTCTTTTGCTTCTCTCTGTATGCAGAGGGTTTTCTGTCATGAGTCAGTAAATGATCGTCCTTAGGCCATATGTAACTTGCTGTTCATTTGTGTAAATTAAATTTTATCGGAACACAGATACCCTCACTTGTTTAATATTGTCCATGGCTGCTTCCATGCTATAAGAACAGAGTTGAATAGTTGGGATGATGACTACATGGTCCACAAAACCTAAAATATTTACTATCTGACACCTGTTCTAAAGGATAAATAGGGATGTTCCAGACAAAATGCTCTTAGCAAAAGAAATAGTATGCACAAATGTAAGGGACATCCATCCTCAGGGTTTTTCCAGCACCTGCACTGTAAGTTTTTTTAAAGGGATACATTTTCTCTTCATGGCAAGAACGCCTTAAGTAAATGCTGGTTGAAAACGTTTGTCTAAAAAAAAAAAAAAAAGAAAGAAAACATTTGTCTAGTTTATTCACACATAAAGGTATTAATAATGGTCACTGTATTTATTTTTTGTGTTACCTGGCATTACCAATTGCAATCATGTGGGTCAGGAACAAAGAAGGGTAATGAGTATTCCAATGAACAAAATATATTATAAATTCACACTGTCAAGTTTTTAATTACTTTGTTGAATAAATATAATGTATTTGTTGATAAGTTGTACATTTTGCATTCAAATGTGGTTGAGAATAGGAAATTATCCTAATGAATCTGATGCCTTGTCAAAATGAAAAATTAGTCCATGAGTTTCTAGTGATTGTAGTAAGAAGTTCAGAACACATACGCATATTCTCTCCCCATACCTCCGTCTTTCTCTCACTAGAACTTGGTCCTCCCCAACAAACACATTCACAAACACATTTTAATAATTGATGTTTTGTTTATTCTCATTCCAAAGATGAATATTTTACTGGCAATAAATTAAAATATAAATAGGATCTAATGGATGTACCACAAATGGCTTTCTTGCCTTAGAATTGAGGTGAGTCACAAGAGAGAGTCTCATTGCTTATTTGGTTCTCAGAGTTCATTGTTTGCAGTAGTAGAAAGGAATGATCTTGTGACATAATCAGTTCACATGGCTTTGATATTCAGTAAAAGGGGAAACTGTTACCCGAAATAATTGTTTTAATACAGAAGGAAACATTTGTGTGTACTAAAAACTCTTTAATGTCAATTATGTGCTAGATTCAAGTGAAGAAAATATAATTTACCAAGGCAGACTCAATATGGAAAACTTGGTCAGAATTATAAAATAAAAAAAAAAAGAATTATAAAATAAAAATAATTGAACCACAGACAAAATTTACCCCATCTTCCACATGCAAACATATCAGGCCAAGATTATTTTTCAGGGTAATATCTATGAAATATCCTAAGACCATACAATTTTTATCTTATACAAACTATTCTAGGAAATAGAGAAAGAATGAACATTGCTTCTCACCCTTTTGGCTAAGATCAAGTGGAATATCAGATCTTAGCGGTTTAATATCTGAGACATCTGCTGAGGAGTATTTTAAATGGATTTTCAGAGCAGGGAGATGGAATGGGAGCTTTTTCTGTCAACACCACCACACATTGACCTAGTATTGCATATTGCAGCATCTCTAGGAATGGTGTACCAGGAAAAAAAGGAACATACACCAACAACTTTTATTCATGAAACTGATTTGGCAACAAACCCAACTTCAACAAACTAACTTGTCCATATTAGCCTCATGAAATAATGGAATGAAAGAATAGCTTAACATTAGAAATGATTAATATGTTATGTTGAGCTATGTGAAATTGCCCTTTTCATGATTACAAAAAGTCTTATATCAGCAATTTCAGATGGCTCAACCTGATAATTCAGCACCTTAGCAGACTGAAGAAGAAAGATAGATTGATAATCTCAGCAAATAAAGAAAAATTGCTTACATTAAACATCAAATTTAGTGGTGCATCATTATAAGCATCCCTCTTGAAACCAAGAAAAAGACAGTATAGCCATCATTACTTCTATTCAATGTCATATTATTATACATGGCCTGGAAAGAAAGAAAAGAAACAAATTGCCATAATATATTTTTCTATTCAAATAACCCAAGAGAATCTACAAACAATTATGCAAATTAAAAGAATTCAACAATGTTGCTTTGAAATAATATCATGATACAAAAACTAAGTTTCTTAACACCAAAACTAAACAACTTCAAAAATAGCAACAACAAATATATAAGATCTAGGGGAGCATCTGATATAAACATATAACATTTTTGGAGGACATAGTAAAACCTTTAATAAAAAACAAGGTAACTAAAATAAATGGAAGAGTTCTAGATAAGACTACTTGGTGTTTTAACATATTGTTTTCAAGCTGTTTGTTAAATTCAATACTATTGAAATGGAACAGAGGATTTTAATGGAAATTTACAACCTTGTTTTCAAATTTATATTGAAGAGAAAATGGGGCCAAGAATAGTCAAAGTAATGTTGTGAAGAAGTAGTTAAGAGAACCTGCCTTGTCAGATAACATGATTAAAAGTTATAGTAATTAAGATAACATGGCATTATCTCGGACATACATAAGCAAACAAAATTGAGAGTGTAGAAAGAGCTCCCACATGAATGGGAACTCAGTACATGACAGAGGTGGCACTTACAGATCAGTGGGAGTGGGCCAATTTCCTAGGGCTCCTGTAAGAATTACCACAATCTGGGTGGCTTAAAACAAACAACAAAAAAACCCCTCATCTTTTATAATTCTGGAGGCCAGAAGTCTGAAATCAAGATATTTCTTCCACAGACTCTAGGGGAGAATCCTTCCTTACTTTTTCCAACTTCTTCTGGCAGCAAATGTTCTCTGGCTGGTAGAATCATAATAACAATCTTTGCTTCTTTCTTTAAATGACCTTTCTCCTGTGTCTCTGTGTCTTCTCCTCTTACAGAAACACTCCTCATTGTCTTTAGGTCCTGCAAGCTAAATCCAGGATAATCACATCAGCAAACACCATTTTAAAAAATAAGGTTACATCCAGGAGTACTGAAGTTTAGGACTTAGACAGATTTTGGAAGGGCACAAGTCAACCCACACAGGGATAAAGAAGAGAGAGTTCAAAAAAGGTTACTCAGGAAATTTATAAAGAAAAATAACTGCATAAATGATATCATATCAAAACCAAATTTCCATATGGATAGAATATCCAAATATAAAAAAGAAAATTTTAATGAAGAAAAAGTATGTGGAATATTATTAATGATCTCTACAGGAAGTTGTTTTGAAAACAAGACCCCCAAAGCATAAGGATAATAGTAAACAAAAAAATTGGTAAACTCAATTACATTGAAATTTAAAATTTCTGTACATCAAAACTACCATACAGAATGAAAACACAAATCATATTAGGAGACTATATTTACAGCAAAAATAACTGATGATATGTACTAAGCAGTAAGAAAGAGAAACAAAACAGTACAATTAAAGCATGGGCAAAGCTATGAACAGACAATTCATAGAAGACGAAATAAACCTTTGGAAAAAATACTGCAATTCACTATTAAATTGGGAAATGGAATTGCAATGAAGGATTAGATTCCATTTTACAAACATTAGATTTTTAAATATTGAAAAGCCTGAGATTACCAACACTTGGTAGTGTATATTGGTAAAACAACTTTAGAGAGCAATTTGGCTCTAATAAAGTTGAAAGTACCTAGAACTCAGAAATTCTCCATGGAGACATGTGCATTACAGCTTTCAGTCACCAGTGAGGGAATGAGTAATTTGTAATAAATTCATACAAATGTAATATTCTGTGGCAGTTGAAATAAATGAACTAGCACTGTTGATGTTAAACTAGGTAAATCTTAAAAATACAATATTAAGGGACAGTACATTTCAGAAGAATTGGTACAGTATGATACCATTGATACATGGTTTTAGAACATGAATATCAATACTGTATCTTTTTTAGTGATATCAATATTTGTTTTATAAGTACAAAGACTTCATAAAATTGATAAACACCAAAATTGAAGACTGGTTCCTTTAATGGAGGTGACAGAGGGAAGGAAACTTAATGGGGAGAGATGATATATGGAACTTCAAACTTATTTGCCAAGTTTTATTTAGGCTGATTGATGAATACATGAGTGTTCGTTATATTACTGTCTGGACTTTTTGTATTTCTGAAATCCTTTGATATCTTTCATAATTTCAAGAGAGAAAGGTGAGAGAAGATTGAGTTATTACAAGGAAGATATTATTACAAATGAATCTTTTCAATTTTAAAGTAATATGAAGTTGTAACTAAAATTATAGCAAGGTAGAATTTAAATACAAGGAAGAATGAGGAAGATGACTGGAAGTTGGATAAACTGAGCACTATCTGGTAAGACTGAAGATTTACATACACCAGAACCTAGCAACTTTTATGAACATCTGTGCAAAACAGTTCTCTGCAGCTTTGAAAGGAAATAAAGAAGAAATAAGAATATGGCAACAAATAGTATTTAGTAAAGACATCAAGATGACCAAAGACTGGAAAAGAGAAATAGGGAAAGATTTTGTGGTATGATGTTTTCCATCTTGCCAATCATGTTACATCTCAAATAATATATTTTTATCGATGCATTGCAAACTGTGTGAAACAACGGGATGTTGCAGAGGAAGCATTAACTGTGAATTCTTTGGAAGAAGAAGGCTGGCCAGTTGTCTGTCTGACCCCTAAGAATCCTCAAAGGATAGCATTCATCACAACAGACTAGAGACTGCCTCTCAGTAGAAAATTCTTCTAATCATCTAATGTATAAAATTGAAACGAAGGATTTGGATCTTACTGATGCCTAACCAGAAATGGAACTTTTTTCCTTGGAATAGATTTTTCCTAAACCCAACAAAACAATCATATAAAATAATGATATTACTAAGTTATCAACTAAAAATTTTCTAAACTGCTAAAACTTTTCACACAGTCACTTTAGGAAACTGAATTATATTTATATTTTCTCTATTAAAATGATACTACAGGGCTGGGGTTGTGGCTCAGTGGTAGAGTGCTAGCCTAGCACATGTAGAGCCCTGAGTTCAATCCTCAGCACCCTATAAAAACAAATGAATAAAGTAGAGCTATTAAAGGGGTGGTATTGTAGCTCAGTGGTAGAGCACTTGACTTGCATGTGTGAGGCACTGGGTTCGATCCTCAGCACCACATAAAAATAAAATAAAGATATTTAAAAAATAAAGTTATTAATAAAAGTTACCTCATTTAAAAAATGATACTACATGGGCTGGGGATGTGGCTCAAGTGGTAGCTTGCTCGCCTAGCATGCATGAGGCCCTGGGTTTGATTCTCAGTACCACATAAAAATAAAATAAAGATATTGTGTCCACCTTAGAAACTAAAAAATAAATATTAAAAAAATGATACTACAAAATCATCACATAAAAAGCCAATCAAAGCATGTACATCAAAAATGTGAGAGGTGGAAGGATTTCAATTAGCAAAAAATGTAATTTTTTTCTGAATTTTGTTTTGTGGTGTTTTCCAGCTGTTTAAAATGTATACATTATTATGATTTTTTCATTTTTAAAATATTTTCCATTATATGTAAATTTTATTCCTTATTTTATATTCTCATCCCAAAAGTAGGTCCTCCAAATTGTGTAAGATTCAGATGCAACCTGTTATTTCCCTGAACTTGGGATTGTAAATTCTAACTGCTACCTTATCATGCACATGATAGATTCTGTGTCAGGAATTGTGAAAGTTGATGTCTTTATGATCAATCTTTTTAATACTTGGTGTCAGCCGTACTAGAATTATAATTTTTAGTTGAAAATAGACAAAATCTGGTCCAAGAATGAGTCATTAAATCCATAAAATGTAGTGAAGAATCTTTGTTGGTAGAGCTAAATAAAAATAGTAATTATAAAAATGGTAATAATCAGAGCTAGCCTTTCTTGAGCACATACTATGTGCCAAGCTCAGCATTTTGCCTTGTATATAAATTCTCAGTTATTCTTTGTATTTGCTTTATTATAGTACTAGTCGTTTAAATAAAAATAAATGCTGAGACAACATGCATGCCAAGATCTGCTGGATTAGTGATCATTGGGTAAATATCAGGAAACTTGATCAGTGGCAGGTGTTCAGGTTCTGTAGTACTCATTCATCTCAGGCAGTGCATGATAATCTAGCAGAGCCAGAAATTCAACTCGAAGAAATGTGCCCTGACTCTTGGCTATGGGGCTTTTAGGCTGCATGATTAGCATAAAGGCTTTGTTTAAAGTTTGTGTCAAGTTTAGCTGACCTGGCTAGGCTAAACTACATTTCCCCAAATTCCTTTCCTGTATGTTTCTGGTTAATATGAGCTACAAGGGGGATCCTGGGGAGATTTGAAGGGCTAAAGGGAGGCAGCTGCCAATTTGTAGTATACACACATTGTTGTTGATCTGCTGACTTATGTCCTTGGCACTGTACATCAGCTGGGCTAGGTGTGAGTGTTTAGCTTTTTGATGAAGGATTCTGCTTCTTCAGAAAATCCTAGTCTCAGAGGCAATGAGAATAGATATGGATTTCAGTTCTTCCTTGTATGTTTCCCTGTGGGTTTCCAGCTTTAATCATGGAGTCTCAGATGACTTGT